GCTATGGAAGGTTTTTATTTGGCCTTCAGTTATCAAGGAGAGTTTAGCTGGGTACAGTATTCTTGGTTGATAGTTGTTTGTTTTTAGGGTATGGCATACATCATTCCAGGCTCTTCTTGCTTTGATTGTCTCTGCTGAGAAATCTGAGGTTATTCTAATTGGTTTCCCTTTATAGGTGATTGATCTTTTCTCCTTGACAGCTTTAAGAATCTTTTCCTTGGTCTGAATTGATCCTGTGTGGATTATAATGTGATGGTGGGATCTCCCGTTCTGGTCTTGTCTATTTGGGGTTCTGAAAGCTTCTTGTATCTGAATAGGCCTATCTTTTTGCATGTTTGGGAAGTTCTCTGCTAGGATCCTGTTAAAAAAATTTCCTAGACCATTAACTTCTGTCTCTAGGTGCTCCTCCACACCCAATATCCTCAGATTTTGCCTGCTGATGGTGTCTTCCAAATGTTGAATATATCTATCATATTTCTTGGATTTGTCTTGGATAGTTATATGTTCTTTCTCTATAATATCTAGGCTGTCTTCAATCCCTGAGATTCGATCTTCTTCATGGCCTAACCTACTAATAAGACTTTCTACTTCGTTTTTTTCTTCTTTTCCTTCTAATTGGTCAGCTTTGATGGCTTCAAATTCTTTGTTAGAAGTTTGTTTTAGATCTTGTATGAACTTCTTTACTTCCTTAATTTGGTGTTCAGTGTTTATTCTCAAATCACTTAGTTGATTGGTTATGGTTTCCTTGGACTCCCATTCCTTCTGTAGGTCTCCATTCAGCATTCCCTTTGTGGTCTCCCTAGATTCCTTCAGTTGTCTGTTCATTGAGTCTATGAGTGAGTCTATTGATATTTGTCCATTCTCATCCTGCTCACACAATTCCTGTCTTCCTCTTTGATTAGCTTCCTCATGCTCATGCAATTCGTGTATTTTTCTTTAACTGTTCTCAGCCTGCGCACACAATTCCTGTCTTTTTCTATGACTGTTCTCAGCCTGCTCATGCAATTCCTTTATTTCTCATTGAGTGTTCTCAACCTGCTCATGAAATTCCTGTATCAATCATTGAGTAGCTTCCTCATGCTTAGAAGATTCCTGTATTCATCTTTCAGTTGCCTCCTTTCTCTCCCTATCACACTCACCCTGAGTCCTTTGCAGGTATTCAATCTTTTCATTCACCATGTTTACCAGTAATGTTTATAGAGCTTTTTGGGAACTCTCCTCTGGATTATTCATTATCTATTCTGTCACCTGATTATCATGAGTAGGAGTTGAAATACCTAGACTTGCTATTTTTCTTGTGTTTTTCTGGCTTGCTCTGCCCATTTGGTATGAATGTAACACCCGTTTTGTGCTAGAACACTATTTTAAGCCAATCATCAACCAAAGTCCTGTAGTTGCACAGTCAAAAGGCTGCAGATACAATGTAGTTCAACAGATACAATCTATTCAGCATCAAACAGCTATGGATTTATGGGCTAAGAATAGGAAAAAAGGATTTGGCAAATCAGAAATTATTAGGTTTAGGGAGAAATGTGGGGAAAAATAGGATTAGAGGGATGTGGAGAGGCAAAAGGAGAGTGAAATTAACCAAGTCCTAAACTCAAAGAGGGAAATGGATTGAACAGAATATAGGAGAGAGATTTAAAAAAAGACAAGGAAAAATGGAATAACAAAAATTTATATTTAAAAAGGGAAACTTAAAAATTATCTAAGTTTAAGGATAATATTGAGAGAAGAAAGGGATAAGATGAGAGGAGGGGAGGGATAGAATTGAGACTTGAAAAAATAAAAAATAAAAATTCTTTAAAAATTATATACGTATAAAGACAATACTGCTATTAAAGAAATTAAGCCTAAGAAGTTTTGAATTGAGTAATAAGTGTGTACACATTGGGGGATAAGGTCTGAAAATTGATGATGGGTATATGTCTGAGGATGAGCAAAGCAGCAATTAAGGCATGCAAAAAGAACAAAAGAGAAGAAAAATGAAAAGAATGAAAAAGAAAAGGAAAAGGATCAAAAGGTCATTAGAGAGAAAAGAAAGCACACACACACACATATACACCTAAAATAAAAATTATGAGAGAAAAAAAATTAATAGAAAACAATTTTTTTAATTTTTAAAAAGGTAGGAAAAAAGAGTTCTTTGAATTTTTTTTGTCGGGGGGGGTGGATGGGAAGATCCTGTATCTCCCTTGTGTCCATAACCAGTCTCTTGGTGGAGACTCTGGTCTGCTTGTGGTGTTTGGTTTTCCTGTGGCTTGATTGTTTTTTTAAGTCAGTTTGTTTGAGCTGGCAAAAAAATGCTCTTCTTTACTCATGATTTTGCCATCCTCCTCCCAGGCTAGTTAGTGGGAGGGAGATCTGCTTTGAGTATCACAAAAGCGGGAGATGGCTGTTTCCTCTAGTTTGGAGTTGCTGTGATGAGACTAGTTTCTGGGTAGAGTTGAGGCCTTTCAGTAAATAATAGCTTTTCCCTGAAGGACTAGCTCCAGAGACACTCACAGAGCCCAGCTTGGATCCATTCTCAGGGTTTATGTGTACTGAATTTCAATGATTGTCTAGGCTGCTGTAGGGAGGAGCAGCCTCTGGTTCTGTTTACCCAGTGAAGAAAGCCACTCCTCTGGGGGCAGAGCTTCTCTGCCAGGGCTGGGTGACTTTCCCCTGGGTGGAGCTAAGACTGGCAGTTCAGGTCAGGTTCCTGTGACCTGCTAAATGACTCATTTGTTTTCTTCCAAGGCCTGAGTTGGAGCTAGCTGCTCAACCGGACCTTTGTCAGTAACAAAGATGGAGATCACCGGTAATGGGGGGGGATGGGGTGGCCTTCCCTCTTCTGCTCCCTAAGAATGAGTGAGGATGTCAGGGTTCTACTCACACCGGAGTCTTGGTTCCTGGGTCATCTCTGGTCTGCAATTTGCAGGATGAAGATATCTGCTCCTTGTCAATTCTTGCTGGTATTGAGTAGAATCTGCTCACCCTCTGTGTCTAACGCCTTTGTCCCAGACTCTCTGTGTTGTAGGTATGGCGGTTACAGCCGCTGCTGCTGCAGCCATGGCTACCGGCAAGTGCTCAGATCTGTGTCCTTGCCTGGATTTTCCCTCTCTGGCCAAACTCTCTGTATTGTGATGGCACACTTGATGTGATTCTCTAGCCTAGGACTGTTCACTGGAACACTAAAACTGCTTTCTATGTGAGAGCTTGTTTAGCCTCCATCTTCTCCTCCTCCATCTTCCCCCCTCAAAAAAACTTAAAACTTATGTGGACTCACACATTAATTAAGGAACAATACCATGAAGTAAAAGCACATGCTGGAAATATGGCAAACCTGATTTAGAACTATACTACACAACCACTGAAACAGTCACATTGACACTGATGCCAAGAACATATGGAAACCAGGAAACACAATAGATGATCCAGGACAATCCCATATATCTACAGTCAAATGATTGTTGACAACATTATGAATTACATATAGTGGATAGAAGTTTGCTTCCATAACAAATTTTGTGTGTAAAACTGCATTTCCACTTGTAGAAGACGAAATAGTTCTGTTACATTCCTATGAAATATTGAACTTAAGAGCTTCAAATATGAAACTTCCAGATAGACACATAAGGTCAATACTTGAAGCAATAGACTGAGGTATTGATTTTCTAAGTAGTATTGCAAAAGCTTAAGAAAGAAGAGGAAAAGTTGATGAATATTGCCTGTTCTTTGGCTCAGTTTTAGATCCTGAGTTCCATACCTAGCACACGAAAGAACTGAGCTCATGACTAGTGCAAAGTGCTCACATGGCTGACATAGGGATCGTCATTCACACACAGACCAGGCACACTTTTCATGAGACCCTCTTAATCAACAGCTGTACATGATGCTACGTGCTTTGTTTCAGTTTATTTGTGTGTGTGGGGGGGGTTGATTGTGCTGAGTAAGAGGGCTGAGATCAGGTGTATTATTCTTCCAAGCCAGCCAAGGCTAAAAAAATGCAATGAGATACTGTGTAAATAGAAGAAGCTGGATAGTGAAGCATATGCCTGTCATTACAGTTATGGCAGCAAGCATCAATAGAAAGTCTAGAGCCCAGGCATGGACATATAAAAAAGCAAGATACTATCACAAAAATACTCAGTGCAAAGAAGGGCTGGAGATAGCCTCATTCTACAATACCTGCCTATCATGGTCCTCAAGAAAGCATTGACAAGTGAGTGGATGTCAGAATGAAAAGAATCTGCACACTCCACAAAAAGCTAAGGGAAATCACTCGGGCCCTGAGTTCAAACTATAATACTGGCACAAAAATGATCAACAAAACATGAAAGTTGGGAATGAAATAAAGGTGATGGCTTGTGGTGGAGGCACAAGGTTAATGGAGATGTAACAGTTCCTCATGATCAATGTACTTAAAATACATTTATGAAAATGGGATAATGAGATCTATAGAAATTGTTTTAAGAAGGGATAGTTTTGATGGATGTTATTTGTTTTGTGTCTAAAGAGTATGTTACATACATACATGGAAATATCAAAATAATTTTTAAAAATTCTTCACTTTTTATTTTTAGTTTTTAAATTTAAAATATTTTAAGTCATTTTACAGTGGAGTTGCCTTTTAATAAAGCATTTTACGAATACTGTATAAAACTGTATCAATGTCACCCCATTCAATGTTTCACTTAACCCTCCCCTATCCACCTCTTTCATCGTTTCATTTTGTAAGATATATATTGGATGTGTGACTGTATTCTCCTCTTCTCCTCTTCATTTGTCCTCCCCTTTCCCTTGATTTGATGAAACACCTTTGGAGTACCTATTACCTGTTGATTTATTTTGCAGAAAGTTGGATTTTACCTGTTTAGGGAATTACATTATTTGAATTCTCCCATGAATCTACTGTATTTCAGTTAATACATCTGAATATACTTGCATATCACCTAAGCTTTTAGTTTATAAACTAATTCTAGCTTCCATACATAAAGGAAAACATTCATCCTTTGTTACTCTGGGCCTGACTTATGTCACTTAGTATGTATTTTTCCAGATTATTTCATCTCATTACAAATGGTACATCATACATTCTTATGAATGAACAAATCACCATTGTATATATAGACCATAGACCATATTCTTGGTCCCTTTATCCATTTAAGGGCATCTGGGAAGATTCCAGACCTCGGCTTTGTATATATATAGATAGACAGACAGACAGACAGACAGATAGATAGATAGATAGATAGATAGATAGATAGATAGATAGATAGATATCAATATATATCTAGATGTGTGTATATATACATATAATACATGTATATACACATCTAGATATATATTGATATCTATCTATATATTCATATATATCTATATATTCATATAGATAGATATAGGTAGATATAGATAGATAAACATATTTAGAAATATATATTTATATGTATGAAATTTTGAGTGATGAAGGTTTTTTCACAGTAGTATTTTCCCAATCTATACTGAATGGAGAATTTTTCTTCTTATGTCTTCTACTTTTTTGAAAAACCAGTGTTTTTCTTTGTAGATCTCTTTCACTTCCTTGATTACATTTATTCCTTGGTATTTAAGATACTTTGTGTTAGTTGTATTAGTTGTACTATTTGTAATTTTATGGGTTCCTTGACTTAAATCTGGTGAATGCTGGTGTATTGACTACTGGACTGAATGGGCTTAATACGTATTTGTAATTATTGGTATCAGTTCTCAGTCTATTTCTTGGGAGTGACATATTTAACCTAGTAGGTGGCTTTTGAGATGTGTCACTCTAGAATTGAGTCTATTAAGCACCCATTTTCCAGCATAGGAGCTCAATGCAATCTTCAATGAAAGTATTAGGGGTCTGAGCCCTTAGCTACTCAGCCTCACATAGTTCTTACCAAACCTGTGTCTTTTCCTTTGCCCAAATCAACCATCAATTCACAGTTTTTTCTTCTATTCCCCATTGTTTCTGTCTTTGGAAGCTGCTGAGCTATGTTTGCACCCGCAGCTAAAAGGAAAACTTAAAGAAGTAGCTGGCCCCAATATCATGCCCACCCTCTGAGGCCTCTCACCCATGTTTTACTAACAAATTTTGTGTGTATTTATTATTTCTCTGTTAAGTTCAGGTCTTTCCATGGGTTTGTGCTGAAACTTGTTCAACTTTGAGATTTCAGAGGATGCAGTAACTGTGATATATTCTACCTGAAATACACTCTGGGACTATTGATTAAATCCACACTACTTTGTTTATTTTCTTAGCCCCTTAGTCATTTTCTTAGCCCTTCTGCTTTAAGTCAGGTGTGAGACTGGATATTTTATGAAAGGATTCTTACAATTTCCAGATTTTTTGGTAGTTAATTATAGATAAATTGCTCAATGTCTTTCCTACCCAAGCTGGCTTTGAAATGCATTGCTCAGAACTCAGCTTGGTGAATAGCTAGTATTACAGACATGAGTCACCAACACCCAGCTGTGTATTTTTGTGATGTTTTCTATTCATAACTGTGCACATAAATGCACTTAAATCCTTTTTTACATTCCCATCACAGCTGTGATTATAGGCAGGCACCCCTGTTGTGACTAACATACATATAGGACTGCCCTGGATCTCTCATTTTCTAAATCTCCACCTCTTGCAGAGCTGGGAGATGTCTGCCACCCCCGCACCAAGCAAGGCATCCCAGTAACTTTTTTCCCAGCCTGGATTCAGAGAAGAATCTTTTTAATCTCAACTAGGGTTATCACAGTTTCCCATTGGTTTTGAGCTTAGTATTGACTTTTATATTCCTGCAAAAAATACAGTAATTTTCCGTGGAATAACATTGAATGAATGGTAGCTTTTGGGAATATAGACTTTCACAATTTTAATTCTGCCACACTCTGAACAAAAGATGTCTTCCCATTTTCTTTTTTTTTTTCGGGTGGTCCGGTCCTGGGGCCTGAACTCGACCTGGACGCTGTCCCTCCACTCTTCAGCTCAAGGCTAGCACTCTACCACTTGAGCCACAGCCCCACTTCTGGCTTTTTTCTTTTTTTTTATGTGGTACTGAGGAATTGAACCCAGGGCCTCATGCATGCAAGGCAAGCACTCTACCACTGAGCCACCTTCCTAGCCCCTCTTTCCATTTTCTTATCCAATGTTTTATATGATAGCTTTCCTTTTCATTGTAGAGGTCTTTTCTTTGGAGGGGCGAGGGGGGGGCTGGTCGTGGGGCCTGAACTCTGGGTCTGGGCACTGTCCCTCAGCTCTTCAGCTCAAGGCGAGTGGTCTACCACTTGAGCCACAGCACCACTTCCGGCTTTTTTTTCTGCTTATGTGGTGCTGAAGAATCGAACCCAGGGCCTCATGCACGCAAGGCAAGCACTCTACCACTAAGCCACCATCCCAGCCCACTGTAGAGGTCTTTACAGATCTTTTCTTAGGTTTTGAATCCTAGGCATTTGTTTTTTAAGCCACCATTCCAAGATATATATGAAATCAACTTTGGCTAGTTGGTAATTTTATTTTATTGGATTAAAAATGAAGTTTATTTGTAATTGACAAAAGGGGTGTTATTTTTCCAACACTAAATAGACTGAATTTTAAATTTTATTTTTTGTATTACTTTAAGTTTTTACTAATGTGTACAGTTAAAAGAGGTTTCATTATGCTAGTTTTGTATGACCATATACATTATTTTGTCTAAATGCCCTTGTATCTATTACATTTTATTTCTTCTAAAAATTTAAATCATCCTAATGGCTTCCATTACATTATTCTCCTTCATTAATATGAAATTTCCAATATTTGATAGAATATATGTAATTGTAACCACTATGTACAGTATTTTTCAAGATAAAAACATATATTTAAAAAATATGGCATTTGACTCTCAGTACCACACAAACAAACTCTCTCTATATTTCTCTCTCTCTCAAACACACACACAAACACACACACACACACACACACACACACACAGAAGATAGGAAAACCATGACTCAAAAGCCAAATCCAGTCTGCTTCTTATAAATAAAGTTTTATTGTAACAAAAATAAAAATGTTTCCTATGGCTACATTTTCCTTGGTCTCTCATTACCTCTGTTCCTCTACCTATTATTCATGAACTTGTCCTCCTTTACATACATTTACTTTCTCCTTGGCTCCTATCCATCCAATCTTACTTTAACATATCATCCATTCATGTGTAAATTTTTTTCATTTTTTTACTTAAGAGAAAAAGTGTTGTGTAAGATTACTGAAATTCTAAATCAGAAAAAAATAGCAAGTACTACAAAATACTATGTAAAATTACTGGAATCACATATTCTCCATCAATTTCTCATCACATAACGAGGAGTCTGCATTTTACTCAATAATATAAAGTCAACTCTATTAAAGCAGTTCCTTAAATAAAGAAGGAAGATAGTCAAAATACAATAGAAACTGATGAATATTTTGAATAACATTCTGAGGAATTTGAAAATTAATTACATTTCATTTGTTAAATATCATGCCCTCAACAAAAGAATAAGCACACAATATATTTTGCCAAACATTGTTTTATTGTCAACTAAAAATTTAATTTATAGAAAGCTATGGTAATTTACTTAGTCATGGAACTTTTAGAAATATATGTGAGAAGAGGTTTGAAATCACCTTTATGAGTTAAATATCCAAGACTCTTATTTCCAATAAAAGACCAAACAGCTAGCAATGGAGCCATCATTCATGTGGTAAAGAATCCTTGAGTGAAAAATGTAAAGGACAGTATAGGCCCTGAATACCAATATGCATAAATGAATCAAATTATTATCAAATTATTATTATTATTATTATGCATGACAGACTTTAATCTTAACACAAAATTCAAAACTTCTCATGTAACCTTAAATCCAAGTGTATTTTTGTGGCATATACAAGTCATTCCTAAGTTATTTGAAGGAAGCATTGTGAGAGGGAAGAAGAAGACAAAGAAGGAGATGGAGAAAGACAAAGAAAAAGAAATACTAGGACAGAAGGAAAGCTCCCGAAAAAGAGACAGGATAATTTCAAAAGGTGAATGTGTGATTAGAAATATACAAGTATTGAACAAAACAAAATCTAAGGACATTAAAAGATGTAAATTTGTGAATAGGAAAACATTAATGAAATGAATTTGAGGGCTCTGCAGACAGGAAGTTAATACACATAAAAATTTACAGGAGTTATTGAGAAAGACAATAGATAATCTTACCAGACAAGCAGAAAAAGTTAAAAGCTATGTACATATAACATAAGACGATGCTAAGCAAAATGAAGACCAAGATAGGGATGCAAGTGGTTTTGTCTTTGTCACTGATATTTTTAATGTACTGAGTGATTTTTTTTCTTTTGTATGTACTTCCCCACATGGTATCAACCCTGTTTTTACTATATTTGATTCCAGTGCCCTGCATCTTGTATATGCATTCTTCTAATTTGGGGAGGGGAAGAGAAATAACAAAATGCTGAAACAAGGATACAGGTTGACCCACTGTAACAGTGAGATATAAAATACGCTATGTTGAAAATGAACTTTGTAAGGAGAGGGGAGTGAGGAGGTCGGAAGGTGGGAAGGGAAGGGATGGTAGGGAAAACAAAGGAGGGGGTAGGAATGCTCCACAGGAAATGTACTTATTTCCTTACTCATGTAACTGTAACCCCCCTGAACAGTATCTTTAATATATATATATATAATACATGTATATAAATAAATATATATATCTAACTACAATAGAGAAAAGACTTTAGGAAGAGATGATAATATAGTTAAGCCCAGATTAAACAGGAGGAACCAAATATATAGAAGTAAAACTTCAGTTTAAATTGTGATCACCATCACTTATGTCTACCACTGTTAGAAAAATGCACACTAGATCCTTACTCTGTGAATTAAAACTTCTATAATACAAACTATGACAAGAAGAGATCATTACTATAGATTTAGATCTGCCCTTCTGTGTACTAATCAATAAGACCATATAAGATGATGTTAAGTGAAATGAACCCCAAGATAAGGAAACAAATGTGTTTTTTTCTTTCTTGCTATTGTTTTTAAAGTATTTATTATATATTATGTGATATTTTTGTTTCTTTGGTGTGTTCCTTCCCCATGGTATAACCCCTGTTTTCACTGTATTTGATTCCAGTGCCCCGTGCCTTGATTATATACTTTTATAATTTGGGAAGAGGAAGGGAAATAACAAAATGCTGAAACAAGGATGAAGGTTGATCTACTGTAACAGTGAGATGTACAAGACACTATGTTGAAAATGAACTTTGGAAGGAAAGGGGGGAGGAAGGGGGGAGATGGGGAGGGAAGGGATTGTAGGGGAAAAAAGAGGGGGTAACAGTGCTCCATAGGAAATGTACTTACTTTCTTATTCATGTAACTGTAACCCCTCTGTACAGTATCTTTAATATATATATATGTATATGTATAAAGACAATAAACACCAGTTTAAATTGTGATTACCATCATTTGTGACTACCACAGCTGGGAAAATGCACACTAGATGCTTACTCTGTGAAGTAAAAATTCTATAATATAAACTATGACAAGAAGAGATCATTACTGTAGATTTAAATCAGACCTTCTGTGTACTAATCAGTATGACCATATAAGATGAAGTTAGGCGAAATGAACCCCAAGATAGGAACACAAATTTTTTCTTGCTATTGTTTTTAGTAGATTTATAATGTGCTATGTGATATTTTTGTTTCTTTTGTATGTTCCCCCCCATGGTATAACCCCTGTTTTCACTGTATTTGATTCCAGTGTCCCACACCTTGTATATACACTTTTATAATTTGGGGAGGGGAAGTGAAAAAACAATATGCCTATGTGAAAAATCTAAAGAATGCTTATTTGTCATACTGTATTTTATGCCTGAAGCCATGCACAGAATTTCTATTTGGCATTAACAAGATGTTGTAACACTTTGGGGCAAAAATGCAACCTAAGAGCCCTGCACCAGAGGCCAAGATAGAGAAGACCTCCACAGCCACCATGAGATTCCCCTTGGTACTGTGGTAGACAGGTAGAAAGGTGAGCCACACACTGCAGAACACCAGCATGCTGAAGGTCAGGAACTTGGCTTCATTGAAGGTGTCAGGCAGGTTCCTGGCCAGAAAAGCCACAGTGAAGCTGGCCAAGGCCAAGGAGCCCAGGTATCCCAGGACACAGTAGAAGGCAGTGAGGGAGCCTTTGTTGCACAGGATGATGATGTGGCCATGTTCAGAGTGTGCATCTGTGTCCACAAAGGGAGGAGAGGTTCCCAGCCAGAGTCCACAGAAGGTCACCTGGATGAGGGTGCAGATGGGGATGATGAAGTTAGGAGCCCCTGATACCAGCAGCCACCTCATCCTTCTCCCAGGGGAAGTAGCCTTGAAGGCCAGAACCACAGTCACTGTTTTGGCCAACACTGTGGAAACAGCCACAGTGAACACAACCCCAAATGTGATCTGCTGCAGGATACATGTGACTGTGTTGGGTCGGCCAAGAAAGAGCAAAGAACAGAGGAAACAGAAGATGAGGGAGATGAGCAATATGTAGCTGAGAGTCTGATTATTAGCCTTGACAATGGCAGTGTCTTTGTGTTTAACAAAAATTCCAAGAATAAAGGCAGTTAGCATAGAAAAACAAAGACCAATGGCAACCAGAGCCATTCCCAAGGGATCTCCAAAAGCCAGGAAACTTGCAACTCTCAAGAGGCACTGTGTCCTCTGTGTGTTGGCATACTGATGATCTGGACACTTCACACATTGTTCCATATCTGGTGAGACATGTATATTACCATTACTTCTTTTTATTTACCTCATTTGCTTCAAAGAATTTAGGAAATTTTTCACATAGGTGAAATCCTCAGATGTCAATTTTACTATCTTAAAAGTGTTGTTGTATTTTTTCCAAGCCATAGCGGCTTCCCATTTTTATCTTCTTCTTTATTCAGGATTCTTTATTCAATATTGTTTGCTCAATGACTATCACAGTTATTGATAATGTAAACCTTGGTGTATTGTAATACCATAATAAATTTTTACACTTTTCTCACTGTCATTAAGAGTTCTACAATCAGTGAGGAGAATTGGGGGGAGGATGGGAAGGGATGGGAAGGGGAAACAAAGGAGGAGGCTACAATGCTTGATAAGAAATGTACTCATTATCTTGCCCATGTAATTGTAA